AGCGGAATCGGCCGTCGTCTTCTGGTGGAACCGACCTTCGAATCTCTTCACGCAACACTTTCGCTCGAAATGGAAGTAAATCGGATTAGTCTTGTCGAGAGACCGGCCCAGGTGGATTGCTTCGTCACACTCAACCTATTATCGCATACATAAATGGTCTACTCGTAGCCTCGAGACCCTAATTATAAAGTAAAAATAATGGATTGCTGTGGTAAATAAATTTAGCTTCATCGCGCATCCATCAGAGAATGTGATACAGAAAAAGGCCTGGCCCTACTTGATCTTTACATCTGTACTGCAATTCAAGAGCACTCGTGGCAATACGCTGCGCTACCACAACTCGGGTTCGAGTCCGGCTGGGTGTGGTGACGAGGCAAATTGAGGCGAGCTCGAACCCGCGCACCAATCCTGTCTGGAGGAGGATAGCATTTGGGCAGCAATGCTGCGTGCAATCTAACGGAGACATGAGATGAACTCAACTGATTGTGGGAAAATGCAACTAACTTTCCTTTGTCAAAAGTAAATAAGGTGAATACAGCTCTCATATAACACATCTACCAACAAGCTCAACAGTCTATCGATGAAACGAAAAATACTAAAGCAAAGTCTACTCAACCACGACTTTGGCCTCGCCTAAGAACATGAAAGTGGTGATGAAGACGATTACAGTGATGGTCATGGTCATCTTCATCGTCATAGTAATGGTGACAGCAACCGTGAAGCTGATTGTGGTGGTATCCATGTTTATTGTTGTCGTGTTAATGTTTAGGGTTAGGATGAAGCTGATGGAGACGGTGGTGTTAATAGTGGCTGCGATGATGATGGTCGTCATCAGTGCCCTCCTCCTATTCATGGCTGTAATGGTTAAGGGCGATGATGGTGTCGGTGAGTGTGACGATGGTGCTTTTGGTGGTCTCCTCTTGCTACAGCACCGCCTCGTGTGTATGAAAAAGAGAAGAAGCCAACTTTGTGTCTGGCGAGGCAGCAATTTGTCTCGTTCCCCTTTGCCTGCGCGACACATGCATTGCATATTGCGGCCTGCTTTTGTATGCTTTTCCGTGTGATGGGCCCGAGATGGCAAGGTCCGATTTGGAAGGAACAGTCACAGCAGAGATCTCGCAGCTGTGCCGATTCTGACGCCGCCCCACCCTCCTACCCCCACCTCGCCGTGCCTCATGTCCGGGGGGATCAAGTCTAAGAGGCCTGTCGACTGAAGCCCGGCCCGCATGACGTGATGCAAATACGATAGAGCATGTTGAGGAGGAGTACCGACTTAGGCTGCGTGGAATTGGGCTCATTCGTGTCCATCCCAATTACACATACACAAGCATGCATACACAAATATGCACATACACACACACGCACACACACACAAAACACACATGCATGTATGAATGGCCAAATGTGTACAGGAGAGAGGCGCAGTCAGGCAAAGGGGAGTGGTGTCGGGTCCGGTCTGGACAAAGTTGGTGCCGGACCTGTCAGTCTGGAGCCCGCAGCTTGACCGCCTGAACAAATGGTTGTCTGTCGCATGGCCAGAGGCATTCCACGCGTGGCAGCCACGACGACCGACGTACAGACGAGCGATGGGGTGATTGCGTCCATCGCTGGCTCCGTTCACGGCTTGGGCCAGAGCAGTGGTCTCGTGCGCCCACATAAAAAGTCCACCAGTTGGTGGACATCAAAACTGGATCGTAAATATGAATGTGAAGAAAAGTTGGGTTTCGAGGATTCTCTTCTTTCAGAATTGTTGAGCTTACTTCCATTTCGAGTGGAGGTGTTGTCTTGCTTCTAAACATAGTCAATTCTCTGGACTTTTAGTTCACTCTTTCTCTCTCGCAATTGAAACCAAAAACAAAAAAAGGCTCAGCAACAAAACCAGACGAGTGTCCGACCTTGCGCAATCGGAGTGATGGTTATAACATGCACGTAGAAAGGGGAAGAGAGCGGTCATCAAACCTTGATGGCCAAAAACAGACGTTTCTTTTTGTTGTACCAATTACTTGGAGCCATCACAGCGGGTTTCGTGCATAAACGAACACAAACAGACACATTCACATGCATCGAAGTTGACACATGACCGTAACTAACCAAATCACTTTATACTTTGTTAGGGGGACCTTTATTTCGAATGAAAGTGCATGAAGAAATTCGTTGGTCGATCTCACCACATGAGGATGGATGAATCTGGTTGTAGTGCACCCGTTTGGCTTTGATACGATATTCTTGTTGACGCAATTCCCGAAACTTTCTCCCACGTTTCGGGTGAAAACGTGCTGATCTTTCGTCCATCATTCGATGGACATCATCAGAGCTGGCTCTTATTCCTGTAAAAGTCTCGCGTTAACACTAAAGCAAGAACGCTATCCGACTCTAGCTTACTTCTTATATACTTAATCAAGCAAAAAAAATTAAAAACCTAGATAGATAAATAGATAGATCAATCGATAGACAGT